AGTCTCAGAAAAATGACTTTCCTGTGAACCACACAGAAACCAAGAAGGAGTCTTCCAGGAATGATGGGGAGGAGGGAGAGTGCCTGGAAGGGGTACCCCCCCGTCATTCCTTAAGAAGGACTGGCTTTCTCCTACCCAGCCCTGGCATAAAGGCCAGAAGTGCGACGGGCAGACAGTGCAGGGTTCACTCCAAGCCTCTTGGCTGTGGGATCAGGAGGGGGGTAACTGGCAAGGTTGCAGCTGGCCTGGAGAGGCTTGGAGACTGCACGTGCCAGTGCCAAGTCTGACGGGGTAGCCCCGCACTGGAGGAGCCATGTCCCAGGCAGGGCTGGGCATTCAGACCTCACTCTTGCCACAGCTGAGTAGGTATTAGGTGTGCTTTTGCCTCTGGGGCAGAGAAGTAACAGTGGGGGAAAGACCCTTTCACCAGAACCAAGAAAATCCTGGTATGAATTCTGGCCATGTCACTGACAAGCTGTGGGCACTTAGAAAACTCACTGTCTCGGTTTCCTCATCTACCTAAGGGAGGTAAGAGCTATGCACTTAGTAGGTGACTAATAAGGCTGAAGTGAGATCCTTTTGCAGTTCATAAGCGAAAACCCATGACTGGGTTTTCACACTCACGTGTGAGATGTGCCTCCCTCAAACCTTGCTATGACATCAACACATTACCCGCATGATGTGGAAAAGACATATAAAGTTTAAGTGTAATTTCAATCCCTTAAAAGAGACAAGGTCTCACTCTGTTGCTCAGGCTAGAGTGCAGTGGCATCATCATAGCTACTGTAACCTCAAACTCCTAGGCTCAAGGGATCCTCCCGCCTCAGCCTCCTGAGTAGCTGGGACTACAGGCGTGCACCACCACACCCAGCTAATTATTCTATTTTTTGTAAAGACAGGGTCTTGCTATGTTGCCCAGGCTGGCCTCAAACTCCTGGGCTCAAGTGATCCTCCCATCTCGGACTCCCAAAGTGCTGGGATTACAGGCATGAGCAACCACCCCAGCTTCAGTCCCTTAAATTTATAAATTTACCAAAAGCCCTCACATATCTCTTTTCCCTTAAACCTTACAACCCTGTAAAGATATAGCATTGTTTTCACTATAGAGCTGAGGTAACTGAGAGAGGGGGAATCACTTGCTCAAGATCACATAGCTGTTAACTAAAAGGCTGAGCTGAAACTTGAACCCAAGTCTAGGTGATCAACACATGCTTCTTCCCTTCGTCCTCAATCCCGTTCCTCCCAAAATGCACTCTCTCTGCCTTCTCATAGGGAAAAGAAATGATAAACAATCCAATGCTTGAGTAGGCTGGGAGAGTACTTGGCTTCTCCCACCTTGATCAAAGTCACACATAACACTGTCACCATAAAGCCAGGGCTCTCCTTGGGCAGGTAGGAGTCTTTCTCTTTAGGGTCCAGGCAACCCAGTAGCTTGGGACAAACTACTCTGTTTGAGAGAATAATCTTAATTTCTGTGTGTGGATGGGGTAGAGACAGGATAGAGGGAAGCCAAAATTTCATGCCAACTGACTGTCTCTCATACTGACAGGGAAGGGGGTTCTGACCCAGCTGAGGGAAAACAGAAAGAACTCACATTTGAGTTCTTCATCCATCACCCAGTGGCATACTAAAATGAGGAGTGCTAGTAGTCCCACTATGATGATTCTCTCCAAATTACTTTGTAAATTTAATATGATTCCAGTAAAAATACTAATAGAATTTCTTTTCTTATTGGCAGGGGTAGGATTAGCTAAATGGAAAATTGTGGCAAGAAAAAGGCCTAAAGAACACGAGTGGGATTACAGGGGGTTGCTAAAACCTAATAGGTATTAAGACTTTGGAAACAACTTAAACATCCATCAGTAAGTGGCCAGTTAAATAAATTATGGTATACCCACACAATAGAAAACTATGCAACTATTTAAGAAAAAAATTTAAGGACACTTTTAATGTATTCATACAGAACAAACTCCAAGATACAATAAGTGGAAAAAACAAGGTACAAAACTGGGTATACAGTATGTTACTATTCATATAAAAACAAGGGAGAAAACATAAAAACATTTTTGTTGTAGTAATTATCTATTGCTGTGGAACGAATTACCCCAAAACTTAGTGATTTAAAACATTATGTCAGTATACATGGGTCAGTAATCTAGGCACAGCTCAGCTGGTTGCCTTTGGCTCAGGGCCTCATGAGGTTGTAATCAGCTGTTAGCGGGGGCTGTGGACCCATCTGAAGGCTCAAGGGGAGGGAGGATTTGCTTCTAAGCTCACTCAAGTGGTTGGGAGGTGTTGGTCTCTCCACAGGGCTGCCTCAGTGTCGCAGGTGACTTCCCCCAGGGTGGGTGATCCAAGTGAGAGATAGCACCCAAGATGGAAGGAGCAGTCTGTCTTTATAACATATTTTCATAAGTGACATTCTACCACTTCTGCAGTGTTCTTTTTATTAGAAGCAAATCTGTAAGTCCAGTCTACATTGAAGGGTAGGGGCATATACAAGGACGTGAATACTAAATGTGGGACCATTGGGAGCTGTCTTAGAGGATATCCACCACCATACCTACATAAGCAAAAAATATTTCTGGAAGAATACACTAGAAATATTTAATATTGGTTGTCTCCAGGGCAGGGAACTGGGTAACTGGGGAAGAATTTTTCACTGAATATGTTTTTTTTTTTGAGGCAGAGTCTCGCTCTGTCACCCAGGTTGGAGTACAGTGGCCTCATCACAGCTCACTGCAACCTTGAACTACTGGGCTCAAGTGATCCTCCTGCCTCAGCCTCCCGAGTAGCTGAGACTACAGACGTGCACCACCACGCTTGGCTAATTTTTCTATGTTTTGTAGAGACAGGGTCTCACTGTCTTCCTCAGGCTGGTCTCAAACTCCTGAGCTCAATCGATCCTCCTGCCTCGGCTTCCCAGAATGCCAGGATTACAGGCGTGAGCCACTGCGCCCAGTCTGAATATGCTTTTGTGTATCTTTTTTACAATGTGGATATATCACTTATTCAAAAAAAGAAATCAAATTTATTTTAAATTTAAAAGGAATGAAAAGGATAGCATTTTAATAGACAAAAAAGGTAAGAGGAAACAAAATAAAAACAACTATACTTAGTAACAGTTATTACTAAGCACCATGAACATATTTAGTTCTGTTTAGTCAATACTTGTTTCAATGGGGGAAGTTTAAAATGCTCTTTATTACACACACATACACAAGCAAGCAACTCCCACGTGTAGAACAAAACATACTCTTGAGCTAGGATTTAGAGCTCGTCAGTTTGGTTCCAGTCCACACTTACTGACCCATTTCCTACCATGCCATTCTTCCGCTTCTTCCACTTCCATCCTTCTATGAACTCGTGTTACTTGCTAAACAGAATATGGAACTAGGAACTATTTGGTCCTCCCTCCCTCCCTGCCTGCCTTCCTTGTTACTTGCTATATGAAATATGGAATGAGGAACTATTTCCTTGCTACTTGCTATACGGAATATGGAACTAGGAACTCCCTCCCTCCCTTCCTTAGACAGGGCCTCACTCCGTTGCCCAGGCTGGAGCGCAGTGATATGATCATATCTCACTGTCACCTCCAACCCCTGGGCTCAACCAATTCTCCTGGCTCAATCTCCCAAGTAGCTGGGACTATAGGCGTACACCTGTCTCGCTACATTGCCCCAGCTGGGCATGGTAGCTTATACCTATAATTCCAGCACTTTGGGAGGTTGAGGTAGGAGGATTGCTTGAACCCAGGAGTTTAAGACCAGCCTGGGCAACACAGCAATACCCCATCTCTACAAAAAAATAAAAAAATTAGCCAGGCATGGTGGTGCGCACCTGTAATCCCAGGGACTTGGGAGGCCAA